ATTAAGGTATTGTGATTGTGTAGTACATTTAAAAATGTAATGTATATAGGTTGTTAATAGATAATCATAATAGTCAAGTTTGTAATCATGTTAGTTAGATTTTCTAGATGTACATAGATAAATTTTAGATAGACATTCTTCATATCTTTCAAAGATTACAGAATAGGACATTTAATGTTTTAATAACTGAGGACTTTTCATGACAATGAGACACTCTGCTCCTGGCAGCACCAATCTACTTCAAGAAGAAGATGGGCATCGAAGAGGCACCTTATGGAGTTTGATAGCCATTTGGGCAAGAAACTGCTCTTGCCTGGACTATTACATAAACTGGACACAGAGAACCCGCAGAGAGAGGACTACTGAACTTGCCTAAAGGTGAGATGATCTTTCGGGGTTCCTGATTCATGAAAGAGTCTGCGAGACATTCTGCAGGACACAGCAGATAGTGACTGAACTGCCTTTGAATTTTCCTGCTTCATGGAAATGTCTGCTGGATACCTTCGGCCTCTAGGCCGAAGATGGATGCCCCAACGGTACAGAGAAACTTTGGGTGACTGTCCAGGCGGTGAGATGTCTCTGTCATTTCTAGAGTTTTGGATTTCTTGCTTGCTTAGGTAATATTATGTCCTTCTGGAATCTTTGATGGAGTTAAAGAATATATAGATAGTTATAGTTTTCCTTAGTTATGATAAAGATAAAATAGATATGTTGTAACTTTTACTTGATAACTGTTTTGTTATATGTAATTTTGCTATGTTAAAGTTAAAGCCTTTACTTTTTGTTTAAACAGAAAAAGGGGAAATGATGGAGGAAGGTAATTGGTTAAGTAATAAAGAAACTGCTTGGCCTCATAGCTTAAAACATAGGTGGGAGGAGTAAACAGAACAGAATGCTGGGAGGAAGAGGAAGTGAGCTCAGAGACGCCATGCTCCCCTCTCCCGGGCAGACGTGATAGCTCTGCTCTATGAGGCAGACGGCGATGCAGCCAGCTGCCAGGTCAGATATGCTGAATCCTTCCCGGTAAGCGCACCTCGGTGCTACACACTTTATTAGAAATGGGCTAGTCCAGGTGCGAGAGTTAGCCGAGAAGAGGTTAGATATAATGGGCCAAGCAGTGTTTAAAAGAATACAATGTCCGTGTAATTATTTCGGGGCATAAGCTAGCAGGCGGCCAGGGTGCTGGGGACGCAGCCCCGCCGCACCTATCACAACACTTGGGTTTGGGTGCTTTTTAAAAATTATTATGTATTTATTTTATTTATATAAATTCTATAAATTTTTCTATATTATATATTAACATACTTATATTATTTGTGCAAATATATTCATCTTAATATGGTGTTTTAAATATTATATATAATGTTATGTATAAATATATAGTAAATAATACTACATTTTACTTTATTTTTAGATAGAGCCAACAGTATTTGCTGGGTGTGAACAGACGGGGGAGCTGAGGGATGCTCAGAATCTTGTCCTGAGCCAGTGGGCAAACTCTAAGTGCATCCTGATGTCTGGTGTCCTAGAGAGGACAGGTAGTTCTTGCTATACTTCAGTGCCTATGTAGCCATCACCTAGGAGCTCTCCTAGTCCATCCACAAGGTCTGGGTTCCCTGCTCCCGTTACTTCCTCCATAGAAGTGAGGCTAGTAGATCTGTCGCTCTGTTTGCTTGTTCAGTCAGTCTTCTCTGACTTGGTATTTCTTGTTTCAGATTCCAGTACTGAGGAGACACTGTATTCTCAGGAGCACGTTTCTGACAAATCAGACAGCAGTGCCAGTGGCTGTGCTGGTGATGTTTCTCGGTCTCCAAAGCTCGAGGGTGCTGTGATGAAGTGTGAGGAAGAAACTGGAATGTCTCTGAAGGTGAGAGCCTGGTACAGCCCCTCTACTGGGAGGGAGACGGCACACCAGTGACCGTGTTCCTTAAGGGCCCCTTAGGGGAGAAAGGTCTGATTTGTAATGGTTTTGACAAAAACTTCAGTTTGAGCCCAAGTCCATTAGTGTGTCAGGGAATCTCTGCAGAAGAGAGGCCACATCCACACTACACTCCAGAGAACTTACAGCACAATAGAGACCTGACTGGCCAGGAGGGGCTTCCTACGCTTGAGAGCCCTGGGTGTAGGAAAACGTTCAAAGGAAACCTTGGCCTTGTTCAGCATCAGAGAGCCAGCGTTGGAGAGAAATCTTTCATCTGTTCAGAATGTGGGAAATCTATTAGCCAGAACTCTGTTCTTTAAAACCACTTGCAACCTTACCTAAATATGAAAACCTTCAGCCAGAACTCAAGCCTTAAATGCCAAAAGTCTCCTGTGGTTGAGAAGAAGCCTTATGAATGCGGCGAATGTGGGAAGGCATTTAGGTGGCGCTCAAACCTCAACCAACATCAAAGAATCCATTCTGAAGAAAAGCCTTACGCATGCAGCCGGTGTGGGAAGGCCTTCAGGCGGAGCTCACACCTCACTAAACACCACAGGACTCACACTGCTGAGAAGCCTTTCGAGTGCGATGAGTGTGGTAAAGTCTTTAGCCAGAGTGCATACCTCCGGAAGCATCAGAGGGTTCACACCGAGGAGAAGTCCTATGGGTGTAATGACTGTGGCAAGTCATTCAGCCGCCTCCCGAATCTCATCAAGCATCAGAGGGTCCACACCGGAGAGAAGCCTTACCTGTGCAGAGACTGTGGGAAGGCCTTCAGCCAGAGCTCCAGCCTCACCCAGCACCGGAGAATCCACACTGGAGAGAAGCCTCACGTGTGCAGTGAGTGCGGGAGAACCTTTAGTTACAGCTCTGTGCTCAGGAAGCACCAGCTCATTCACACCGGCGAGAAGCCCTACAGGTGCAGTGTCTGTGGGAAGGCCTTCCGGCACGGCTCAGCCCTCACCCAGCATCAAGGTGTGCACACTGGAGACAAGCCCTACGAGTGCCACGAGTGTGGAAAGACCTTCAGCCGGAGTTCCAACCTCATCCTTCACCATCGAGTCCACACTGGAGAGAAACCTTATGAATGTACTGACTGTGGGAAAACCTTCAGCCAGAGCTCCACCCTCCTTCAGCACCAGAGGACCCACAACGGGTTAAAGCCACATGAATGTAACCAGTGTGGCAAAGCCTTCAACCGGAGCTCCAATCTTATCCACCACCAGAAAGTCCACACTGGGGAGAAGCCCTACACGTGTGTTGAATGTGGGAAGGGCTTCAGCCAGAGCTCACATCTCATTCAGCACCGCATAATCCACACTGGAGATAGGCCCTATCAGTGCTGCAAGTGTGGGAAAGCCTTCAGCCAGCGGTCGGTCCTTACCCAGCACCTCAGCCTTCACACTGGCCTGAAGCAGCGGTCCAAGCTGGCTAAACACCAGTTAATTCATACAAAGGAGTAGCCTGGAGGCGGGGAGGAGGAAAGCTGAGCCTCGGTTCCTCTCTGATTCTTCTGGCCCTTGTTTTAGTCAGCCTTCCTCTTCCTAGACTTGAAGCCAGGCTCACTGTTTTTTATGCCCAGCTGCCACAAAACCTGGAGCCCTCCTTTGAAACATCCTACAGGGGTCCCTTTTGCTGTTGCTGCCAACTTGGGACCTCTCTCTGCATTCTGTTGTCTTTCTGGTTTGAAAACAGACTCGTGCTGGCTAAAAGGAAGACATGACAAGACATCCATGTTCACAGCTTATTCCTGTAATCTAAAGGTACAGAAATAGGTCATGTGACCTTTGGCTGGAAAGAACCTCAGTAATTCTTTCATCTAGCATTTAGTCATAGGGGATGAGTTCTGATTTAGTATTTACTACTGATATTTTGTTTACAACTGAATGTAAGGGTCCAGTTGCCATCTTCTCTGGCGGTGTTGCTCCACGTCCTCTCTCTCCCATCCTGTACCTTAACCAGACCTACAGTCAGCTTAGCCGCCGCCGCCGCCACCTCCTCCTCCTCCTCCCTGCTCTGCTGTGCCTTATGGAGCAGGACCCAGAAGCAGCTCTCTTCATAGCGCGTCTCCTCCCCCACAGGTTTCCAGGCCATCTTTCCACACATGTATCCACCATCGTTTTCGGAGTACATTCTTTCTGTTCTGTCTCAGGAGCCCAGATATCCAGAAATGAGCTCACTGGACTATAGGAGGACTTCTGGTGCTTAGAGAAAAGCTAGCTTCCTTGGGAACTTGTGAAACCCTTTCCCATCAGCCAAAAGGAGCCACTTCCCTTACCTCTGGCAGAAGGGACATATAGCTCTGAAAGACAAGGACCTGTGGCTGCAGATCAAAGGCCGGCTTCCTCCGTCCCTACTCAGTTAGTGGTTGTTCTACACTTCAGAGACCAGCTCTCTTACACTCCCCGACTCCTGATGTTCTCACTATTCTCTCCTCCTATGCTCTGTCCTCTCTCTCTCTCTCTCTCTCTCTCTCTCTCTCGCTCTCGCTCTCGCTCTCGCTCTCGCTCTCCCTCGCTCCCTCGCTCTCTCTCCGTCTCCACTGTTCTCTCCCTCTGCCCTAACTCTGGTCGTGTCTCGGCTGCTGCATTCTCTTTCTCTCCACTCTGGACTCCTCCGGATGCCTCTGGATATTTTCTCTCTCTCTCTCACGCACAATAAAATCCTTACCCTAATAATGGAGCTGTCACGTTAGCAGTTTCTTTATTGTGCCCCCTTGCATACATCTGCTGCTGGTAACCCCACACCAACTGGATGCTAGGATGATCCTGGATATTTGGTCTGCCCAAGACCCAGCACTTTCTGGGTACACACACACACACTAACACACACACACAGGGTACGCGTCACTAACATCTTCATTCTCCCAGAGCTGTGCTTCTGTGCACTCACATCTGGCAGCTGTAATTGCAGCTGCAGGGGATCTGATGCCCTCATCTAGTGACAGTGAACTCAAATATGCAAACACACACACTTTAAATCAAAGTAACAATGGTTGCTCCATCACACAAATTCCACCCTGGTGCACAAGGTCTGGAGCTGAGAAGGCTGTTGTTGTTCCTAATCTCCATTTCCAGACGTTAGCCCCAAACCGTTACCACTTGTTTGTTTGGTTTTGGTTTTGTTACCCACACCCCCGAGACAGGGTTTCTCTGTTTAACAATTTTGGCTGTTCTGGAACTCACTTTGTAGACCAGGCTGGCCATGAACTCAGAGATCCTGCCTCTGCTGGGATTAGTGTGCAACACCACTGGGCCAAACCACATTCTTTAAAGAATAAAAGAACACAACTAGTAAGGTGTGGTGGCAGATCCCAGTGAGCTCAAATGAGTTCCAGGACAGCCAGGGCTGTTACACAGAGAAACCCTGTCTCGAAAAACCATAAAACAAAACAAAAACCCACATCTAATAACCATTTAAAAATAATACACTCTCCCTTTTGTTGGGTATTGTCACAACAGGAAGACAAGTAACTAATACAATTAGAGAAATAAAAATGAAACCATAATAGAGGGGTGGGATCCAGTGCAACTCAATGGGAGACCCTGTGTTAACGTACAAGGGTCCCCGAGTTGAAGTTCCAGCAGAGAGTATGTGTGCATGTGAGGCTACAGAGCTCTCTGATGGTTTGTTTTTTTTGAAAAGGCTCACGGCAGCCTGACCTTGCCAGTTAACCAGTCTGGCTGGCCAGAGAGGCCTGGACATCTGCCTTGTGTCTGCGATCTGTCTTGGGATCTGGGATTACAACTTTTTTTTTTCACATGGGTAATAGTGATCAAACTCGGATCCTCGGGCGTGCGCAGCACGTTGACTGCTGTATCTCTCCAGCCCTAGAATAACTCATTTTTAAAGACCGCTTATACCAAGTGGGGCAAACACAAGCAGCAACTGGAATAGTCATACATTGCTGAGACTAGAGGATGTGCTGCTGCTGAAGATGAAAGACTGGCGGTTCCTTACGCAGCTAAACACATACTATACCATAAACCCGAGCAGCCCGAGCCGACCTGATGGGTTCCAGGACGAGTCCTCCTGGCTGCCTGACCACCAGGGCAATCGCTAGAAGACAAGCACAGCACAAGCTTGGCGGAAGTGACCGAAGCCCCCTCGAGCAGAGGGGCCGCAGGGAGGGGGGAGACGGGGGGGGGAGGTACTCGGGTTTCTAGGGACAGTGGGAGCCGGCTTCCGCCGCAGCCGCCGCCTCAAAGAGCAGGCGCGGTCTCTCTAGGCGCCGCGGAGGCCTCGGCTCTCAGTGGTCCGGGGGCGCAGGCCAGGAGTCCTTTGGCAAGAAAAGCCAGAGGCGCAAGGAGGACGATCCGACCCCCAGGCGCTGTGGTCCAGGACTGGGGGGTGGGGACGGGGGCGGGGTCCCCTGGGATTGACGACTGCGCAGACCGGGCGGGACGGCCCCTTTGTCTTAGGGATCTGAGACAGCAGCCACAGGGCGAAAGGTTGCAGCAGATGGTGAGTGGCGTTCTGTTGGATCCGCGGGACTCTCTCCTTCATCCGCACCCAAGCTCCGCGTCCTCACGTGCGCCAGCCCTTCCCCCGATGGATGCCTGCGGCCCGGCTGCTGCCCCCAGGCCGCACCCTCTGCCCCAGTCCCTCGGACCCTCCAGGCCCCTCTCCCCTGGACCCCACACAGTGGCTCCCACCAGCCTGGGTCGGGATGGATGGTTCTGATGTGCATAAGCTTTCTTAGTGGCTAGTTAATTTGGTTTAGCTTGGGATTCGATTGAGGTTTTGTGAAATAACCGCGTCCCAGACTGCCCTGGAAGTCCTGGGTTCGCACGATCCTCCCTGCCGTCAGGTCCACTCACTGTACAGGGTTTTAAAGTCACTTGCACGGTCTTATCGACCGCGCAAACACCCTCGTGGCATCAGCAGCTGAGGCTGTTTCCTGTCAAAGTGAAGGTGCCCTGCCCTGTTCCACATAACCCAGTTTCTTCTTGAATTTATTCTTCTGCGGATGCTCTCTTGTTACTTTGCAATAGCCCCTTTTAATGGGTGGCAACAGCTTCTCTAACGTGGCATTTTCCTGTTTAATTTTTATTTTATGTGTATTTGTGTTTTGTCTGCCTGTGTATCTGTATAGTATGTGCATGGCTGGTGCCAACGGAGGCCAGAAGAGGGCCTCGGGTCACCTGGAACTGGAACGGGCTGTGAGCCGTCACATAGGTGCTGGGAATCGAATATAGGCCCTCTGGAAGAACAACCTGTGCTCTTAACCCTTGAGCCCTCTCTCCGGTTCCCGCATTTAAATATTAACAGAAAGAGATATTGCCGGGAAAAGAGGATGGCTCAGTTGAACACCTGAGTCCAGATCACCAGAACCCACGTTTTAAAAACTGGATATGCTTGTTATGCCCAGATCCGTGAAGTACCCAAAAAAAGTCCTGTATGTAAAAGCAAAGAGTCTTTTTCTACACAGTTTGCAAACTCGGACTCCTGGTGTCCAACGTGTTGGTAAGAACCCCTAGCTCAGATAGGGTTGGGTTTTTATAGCAACAAAGGTGGGGGAGGGTGGTGAGGGATTTCTAAGGTTCGGGACCCCAGATTGACTGACATTTATCTAGGGGTGTCCTGGTGAAAAGCCAATGTGTGTGTGCTGACAGGTGATCCTGTCTACAATTTTTTGGAATGTTAAGAATTTCCTTTGGATGGTCTATTCCTGGGTGGTTCCTGGGTGGTCTCAGTTTGTGGTCTTTCTTGGAACCTGGCATTGCCTTAGGGAAAACTACTGAGACTCAGGCCTCTACTGAGCTTGTCATGGCTGAGGTTGTCCTCTGGTCTCCACATGATTGCTGAGTTGTGGGTACAATAATTGCCTTGTATGAGGGAGGTGTAGTATTCCCTAAGGTCAGAGGACGTTAGACAGAATGACCACTGAGCCATCTCCCCAGCCCACAAGGGTTCTTTTAAATACCTGCCCAGTGTCCTGTCAGTGAGAACACAGTGACACTGGGAGGGATTTCTGGTGTATCTTTCTAGAAAAATTGGAAGCAAGTACTACTGCCGGTGCATGTGCACACTCCTGTTATTAATATAGCAAGAAACCTCCTGTGGGCTCTACCACCTACTAGATAGATGCTTCTCTTTAAAGCTGTGTGAGCGTCAGTTCTGCCGCGTTGCACACTGGGAATTTCCATGTGGGGGGACAGAGAATTGGCACGAGGTTAATAGGCTAGGGCTAGTAAGCCACCTATGCCATCCTATGCAGAGCCAGTTCCTGGGGCGTTCTTGCCATCAAGATGTTTCCATTCTCGATTGTTATTGGTGAACGTGAAAACTCTGCATTTGTCTTTTAGCTGTTTGTACTCCCATTCAAATTAACCAGCGTGTGTTCTTCTTGTGTATATTAAAATATACACTTGCCTATATGTCTTTTTACTCCATTGAAAATGTCTCCTTTGGGCCGTGGTGGTGCATGCCTTTAGTCCTAGCCCTCAGGAGGCAGAGGCAGGGGAATCTTTTCTTTGTGAGTTTAAGGCCAGCCTGATCTACAAAAGCTAGTGCCAGGACAGGCTCCAAAGCTACAGAGAAACCCTGTCTCAGAGATAGATAGATAGATAGATAGATAGATAGATAGATAGATAGATAGATAGATAGATAGAAAATGTCTTCTCTGGTTTTATTTGTTTGTTTTATATAATTTTTGTTTTCCAAGGGAAGGTTTGTAATGATCTGTTCTGTTTCTTTAAGAGGCAAGCCACGCCCACTCCCTTCCCTGTCTGCTGAGGCAGGCAGATCTTCCTTCCTGGTTGCAGCTGAGTCTCTTCCTTTTCCGGCTCTCTCCCAAAGAAGCAGCCTCTGCCTCACCCCACTTCTTCCCTTTCCCCCACTTCTCTCTCTCTCTGCCTCTCTGCTCTTCTCCCCTTCTCCCTTACCCCTCCATAACCCACTAAATAAATATCCAACCTCACTCTGCATGGCATGCCTATCCATGTCTTTCACCCACCGCCTTCGGAGACCTGCGGCGTGGTTTCGTGGCATGCTCATCTGTGTGTCTCTCCTCGTGGCCTGCTGCACCCACTTGGGGAACTGCTCCATCCCTGCCTGGGACTGGCTGTCTTGGGACCCACTGCCCACTGCAGCTACTTAAGGATCCACAGCATTTTTATTTAATCCATTTCAAGTGTAATAATTTCAAGTGTGTAATAACCCTAGCTATCCTGGAACTCACTTTGTAGACCAGGCTGGCCTTGAACTCACAGTGATCCACCTGACTCTGCCTCCCCAGTGCTGGGTTTAAAGGTGGTGCCACCACTGCCCAGATGGGCGTTTGTTTGTTTGTTTTATGGGCAAATCATTTCTATTAAAGTATTTTGGCTTTTTGCTATGCTTTAAAGGGCTTTCTTCTTGGGGCTGGAGAGATGGCTCAGTGGTTAAGAGCATTGCCTGCTCTTCCAAAGGTCCTGAGTTCAATTCCTGGCAACCACATGGTGGCTCACAACCATCTGTAATGAGGTCTGGTGCCCTCTTCTGGCCTGCAGACATACACACAGACAGAATATTGTATACATAACAAATAAATAAATGTTTAAAAAAATAAAGGGCTTTCTTATTTCAAGATTATTTTCTAAATAGTCTGGTTTTGTCGGGTACTTTTTAAAGTAATCTATTTATTTTTACATGCATTGATGTTTTGCCTGCATGTACGTGCATGTGAGGGTGTAGGATTCCCTGAATTTGGAGATACAGACAGTTGTGAGCTACCATGTGGCTGCTAGGAATTGAACCCAGATCCTTCTACAAGGTGGGTAGTAGGATTGAACTCGGGTTGTCGGGCTTTGTGGAAAGCCAACCATGCAGGTCATGATGCTCACTATTTTTTTTTTTTTTGACAAGATCTCACTATGTAACTCAACCTGGTCTTTTCTGAGGATCCTCTGCCTCCACCTTTCTGAATAGCTGGACCTACAGGGGAAAGGAGCCATGATCAGCTTCCATTTCACTATCAGAGAACCAGAGGCCTGAAAGGACAGATTCTAACCCGAAAGGACAGATTCTAACCCGAAAGGACAGATTCTAACCCGAAAGGACAGATTCTAACCCGAAAGGAAAGATTATAACCCGATAGGACAGATTATAACCCGAAAGGATAGATTATAATCTAAAAGGATAGATTATATAATCTTGCTCCCCATTTTTTCCAGTACCATCTGCCATTGGCTGCAGCCTTGGCTCTGTCTAACTGTTGTACACGCCCCCGCCCAACACTTGAGAAGACTGAACCCATCTGCTACAGGCTCGCTCTCAGACCCTCTCTGTCCCCAACCTCTTATCTGTGTTAAACATCTGTCTATCAAGGTGTGTCCCCAGGACCCCCCCCCCCCACCGCCAAGTGGTGAGACAAGACATCCTTCAGGTCTCGGACCCTCTGGTACTCCAGACTCAGCTCATGCATAACCATGCTCAGACCTATGTTGCCTGTCCATAGGCTGAGCCCTTCCCACATCAGAGCACAGAGGCTATCTAAGACTAAGCAAGGGCCCGAGCCTGTGGTTTTCCACAGAAGTAGATGACCCGCTTCCCACTTTGGAGGGAGTACTTCTTGGGAGATCGCATGGCTTAATGCATCTAGGTTTCATATGAGCCATATAAATTCCTAGAGTATAGAGCATGTAGTGCCCTGAGGAGCTACTGTTCTTGTGAGCAGGCAGGACCATAGGCCAGGCCAAGGTGAGCCAGCTAGCAACCAGTCTTCACTGGCTCCCCACATAGATATGATCAGTCACTCATGGGGACCCCAGTGGTCTAGGCTGTGAAAGACTGGAACTTTTAAGTCCTTAGAAAACAATAGGTAGATGCTTAAAGATCCTTATCATTCTAAAAATTATTTTACTTTCATATGTATATGTAACAGACCATAGAGGCCAGAAATAAGTATTAGATCTCCTAGAACTGAAGTTGGGCACAAACCTGGGTCCTCTGCAAAAGTAACAAGTACTTTTTTTATTTTTATTTTTTTGATTTATGTGTTTGTTTGTTAGTATGTATATTGTGTTCTGCCAGAAGCAGGCACCAGATCTCATTACAGATGGTTGTGAGCCACCATGTGGTTGCTGGGAATTGAACTCAGGACCTCTGGAAGAGCAGCCAGTATTCTTCATCTCTGAGTCATCTCTCTAACCCCCAATAGTAGCAAGCACTCTTAACGCTAAGCCACTGAGCTCTCTCTAGCCCTACTTATATTGAAAAAAGGGGGGGGGGGAGCAGTATGTGAAGCGTTGCCTGACCTAGAACTTACCGTGTAGGCCAGTCTTGCCTTGAACCCACAAAAATATCACAACCTCTGGCTCCCCTGTCATTTTTCAAGTGGGACTTTCCCTGACTAAACCTACTAGATGGGAACAGCCCAGGAACCAAATGTTTGCTCAGGACTCTGCACTAGAGAATACCAATGTGAGCGTGGGCCTGGGGAGACAGAACAGAACTACAGGGGCTTCAGCTCCTGGAGTCTAACTTCAGCCTGCCCTTCTTTGCTTTGTTTTGTTTTGTTTTTCGAGAAAGGGTTTCTCCGTAGGTTTGGAGCCTGTCCTGGAACTTGATCTGTAGACCAGGCTGGCCTCGAACTCAAAGAGATCCACCTGTCTCTGCCTCCCAAAGTGCTGGGATTAAAGGCGTGCGCCACCACCGCCCAGCTGTCAGCCTGCCTTTCACTGACTTTACCTGACAAGGGGACACCCCCACACACAGATGTCAGGATCTGTGGAACTGGACTCTCATGTGTTCTTGCTTTCTCAGCCCCACGGGATCCTGATTCCTCTTGTCCTTACACACCTAAGACACCAAGATGGCAGCAGCTGGACTTCTGCCACTGCCAGCAGGACCTCAGGTGAGTGGTTCCAAAAGCTTATTCAGTGGCTTGACCACTTCTGTGCCCAAGCAGTCCGTGTACCACTGCCTCTCCTGAGCTCAATCACTACTTCCTACTGAGCTCATGTGACTCTATGGGGGCCGCCACCAGTCCCCCACGGCAGGTGTATTACCTGTCAGGTGCGAAGTTATTAAAAAACCGGCCATTCCAGGTCAAGGTGACCTTCGAGGATGTGGCTGTTCTGCTGTCCCAGGAGGAGTGGGCCCGCCTGGGCCCTGCTCAGCGGGGCCTCTATCGGAATGTGATGATGGAGACTTACGGCAATGTGGTCTCGCTAGGTAAGGCTCCTCCATGGGCTCCATGTGTCTTTGTGTGCTGGACTCAGGTCGGGGGTTTCCCAGAGATGGGGCAGCTGCTGGGAAGAGAGGGACTCAGGGCAGACTGGTCCTGAGGCTTACTCACCTCAGGGATTCAGCTCCAACAGAATGGAAGCTTTGTCCTTTTCCTGTGCCCACACGGAGCATGGATTAAGGGAGTATCTTAGTGAATATTGTATAATCCAGGGGCTTCCCTCCTCATGAGCAGGACTCCCAGGATCCAAGCCTGTTGTGATCTCCCAGCTGGAGCGAGGAGAAGATCCATGGGTCCTGGATGGGCAGGACACTGAGCCGAGCCAGGGCCTGGGAAGTGGCTACTCCGGTGAGTGAGGAGAATTAATCCTGCTTCCACTGCAGGTATAATCTAGTTCAGACGGAGCCGCTGATGGAAGAAGCTCCCATTGGTCAGGGGAGGGCTCTGTCACTCTTCCTCTGACAGAATGTCCCCAGACTGGGAGAGCCTGGGCCAAGCAGTAGTCCATGAAGGAAGTGTAGGTGGGGTGGGGAAACTGCATGGGGAGGTGAGCCTAGGTACAGAGGAGGGAGGACAGGATCCTGAGCCCTGTAGAGGCTACGGATTGATTTATTTTTATGGTTTTTTGAGGCAGGGTTTCTCTGTACCTTTGGAGCCTGTCCTGGAACTCTGTAGATCAGGCTGGCCTCAAACTCACAGAGTTTGCCTGTCTCTGCCTCCTGGGTGCTGGGTTTAAAGGCATGTGCCACCACCGCCTGGCCTGGGTTACTTGGTTTAGAACAAGGCTCTTAGTATAAAAGGGGAATTTTTCAACCTGATACTCATGGTGAAGAGCTGGAAGTTTGATCTCGGGTATAAAAGAATCTACTATCCCTTGACCCGTGAAATATTGTACTGAGGTCCCATGTATTATATAAATCAAAAAAAAACCAACAAAACTATAAGGATTGATTTCAGGATGATAAAACTATAAGGATTGAAAAAGAAAAGTATTGCTTGAAGTTTATATGATTTTTAACTTGGAAAAAGATTTTCTAGAAATATTGTTAGATAATAAAAATCATTTATATTATCAGCAACAAAGGTATAAATAAATATTAAAATTATGACATATACAGTAGCATCAGATAGTTACTTGGGCTGATGATGAGATGGCTTAGCAGTTAAGAGCATTTGCTGCTCTTCCAGAGGACCCGAGTTCAGTTCCCAGCACCCACATGGCAGCCCACAAGCCTCTGTAACTCTAGTTTCAGCGGATCTTACACTCTCTACTGGCTTCCACACGTACCAGGCACACAAGTGGTACGCAGACATACATGCAAGCAGAGAACACTCATACACATAGAGTAAATAAAAAGTATTTTTAAATGAAAGCTCCCAGTTCAAAATGTCAGCATCCTCTTGGATCTGCAGTTGGGCTCAACACACTCAAGTTGCAGCGTGGTCTTCTTTGTAGTTTTTTTTTTTTAATAGTTTATTTTTATTTCATGTGCATTGACATTTTACCTGCATGCATGTCTGTGTGAGGGTGTCAGATCTTGGAGTTACAGAGAGTCGTGAACTGCCATGTGGGTACTGAGAATTGAACCCTGGTCCTCTGGAAGAGGAGTCAGTGCCCTTAACTGGTGAGCCATCTGTCCATCCCCCCTTCTTTATAGTTTTAGTCTCTTCGTGGAAAATAGGCTTAGTCTGTTTAGCCACTCTTTCCTGCCCGCTTTCCCTGGGTGTATCAAGAACCTTGTCCTTATACTCTGTTACCTTGTGGGCTTGGTGCTTACCACATTTCTTGCAGAATGTCCGGTGGGTCTTAGGAACATTCACCATGTTGGCATGGTGTTATTGGCACAGAAAGAGAAAGGAAAGACCAGTAACCATAAAAAAAAAAAAATTTAAGTTACTTGGGAAAAATCGTAACAGGGACAATGATATGACGTGATCTTCCAGGTCCAACCTGGAAGTCTGTGTTTACAGTTGCATTAGATGAAGAGTCCCTGACTGCAGGTAACATCAGGGGCTCAGGAAAGCCACAGCCAACCTGTTCTTCCTGGATGCGCCCCTCGAAGTGGGAAGAGATAACGTAGCAACAACTATACTGGTTGACTGACTTCAGTGTTTCACTGTGGCCATTTTCCCCTTAAGAATTATCCTTCCGGAGCTGGAGAGATGGTTCAGAGGGTAAGAGCACTGGCTGCTCTTCCAGAGGTCCCGAGTTCAATTCCCAGCAACCACATTGTGGCTAACAACCATCTGTAATGAGACTTGGTGCTTTCCTTTCCAGCAGTACATTGTATGTTTAATAAATAAATAAATCTTAAAAAAAAGGTACAAAAAAAAAAAAAAAAAGAATTATCCTCTCTTGCCAGGCAGTGGTGGCACACACCTTTAATCCCAGCAGAGGCAGGTGGATTTCTGTGAGTTCGAGGCCAGCCTGGTCTATGAAGGCTAGTTCTAGGGCAGGCTCCAAAGCTACAGAGAAACCCTGTCTCAAAAACAAAAAACAAAACAAAACAAAACAAAAAAATCTCATTATCCTGAAACCCAATCTCCTCTGAGAAATAGTCACGTGACAGCCACAAAGGTCCTGACTTTCCAGGACCACAAACAAGAGGACACAGCATTACGTCACGGAAATCTTGCAAAGAACTTTTTTTCCTTTTTCTTTCCCTCTCCAAGCTGAAGTCATCCTCCTGCCTAACCTTTCTGAGTAACCGGGACAAATATGACTGGCTTTGCAGAGCAAGCCACTGACTGTGACCATAGCAGACTGGGGGTGGGGGTGAGGAGAATTTTCAGATACTGCCGAAGCTGTCTATGGAGGTCGGCCATAGGGGATTGATAGATCCTCTTGAAGAGCCTTCAGGCTTCCTGGGGAGGGAAGAAACAAAACAGATTCTCTAGGAGAACAGAAGCATCTAGTTACTCCATAGCTCAGGCCACAACCGAGGGTGACATGCATGTGCTGGACTGGAGAGATGGCTGAGCAGTTAGAGGTGACACATGTCGTTAACTTGGGAGGCAGAGGCAGGCAGATCTCTGAGTTCCAGCCCAGCCCGGTCTACAGAGTGAGCTCTAGGACAACCAGGGCTACACAGAGAAACTTTGTCTCAGAAAAACAAATAAAAAACTGGCTGCTCTTGCAAAGGACCTGGGTTCAATTCCCAGAACCCACATGCCAGCTTATAGTTGTCTAACTCCAGTTCTGGGGAGTTGACACCTTTATGCAGACATACATGCAAGCAAAACATCAGTGCATATAAGATAAAGTAAACCAAAAAGGACTGTCATGGCCTTCCTCATGTCGGGGGGCCAATACATGCTTGGCCCACCAGTTCACTCCAAGGAGTAAGAACACCTAGTTCTTTGCTATCCTGACATAGAAGGGAATGGAAGAGGAAGAGCTGACGCTGTACTTGCCTGTGGTCCTGGCCTCTGCAGCAAAGCTTACTAAATCTGTACTTTGCCCCAAAGTTTTTGATCCCACTGGTCCTTGCCAGAGACCCTTGTATGTCCTTCAAAAATGTGAGACTTTCGGAGTTGTAAGGTATCTCTGCAGATAAAGGTAAGCAATGCAAGCCTGGAAGCCTGAGTTCAATCCCCAGAACACACATAAGGGTTGAAGGGAGAGAACTAAGTCCGAAAAGTTGTCCTCTGACCTCCCTGTGCACACAGTCTGTGTACTGCCCCCAGCCCCACCCTGCACGCGCACACATTTTAAATTTACATCTTTCTGTGGGGCTTCCTATCCTAGGCTGTCCATCAAGTATGACAACCCACTCAGGGAAGTCTACAGATGAGACCATGGAGAAGCAGTTAAGTGGTGTGGGACAATGGTCTGTATTCTGTCAATTATATTTTAAATAAATGCTGATTGGCCAGTAGCCAGGCAGGAAGTAGAGGTAGGGCAACAAGAACAGGAGAATTCTGGGAAGAGGAAAGCTTGGTTGGCAGTTCTGACCCAGCCACAGAAGAATCAAGATATGACTGCCTCGCTGAATAAGGTACCCAGCCACATGGCTAACATATACTAGAATAATGGGCTAATATAAGTTGTTAATAAGAAGCCTAACCTAATGGGCCAATCAGTTTATAGTTAATGTAGACCTCTGTGTTATTTCTTTAGGACTTAACAACTGTGGGAACCAGGCAGGACAGAAAACTCAGTCAACAGAATGGTGCCTGTGTGGACAACTGCATCCACATAAAGCCTGAGAGAGCTTGGGAAGTAATTCTAGACACAAAATAATAGAGTTAAGCATGGTTTATTGATAGCAGCACTTTCTTGGGCTGTGGTGGGCTCTGCTTGTTAGAGGCAAGTGCTCTCACTTAAGTACTGAATTCACAGTCCTCCTGCCTCCGCCTCTCAAGTGCTGGGGTTACAGGCATGTACCACCCATCCACTACCTCAGCGAGCGTTAACCTTTTCATTTTGTATTTGTTGTTTCAGAATGGAAAACCAAGGAAGAAAACCAAAACACAAACTTGAACTTACAGCCATTGATCTCAGACGAAAAAGCGGTGATTCTGGGGGAAACATCGTTGAAGGAGGCTAATGAAGAACATTGCAAAACAGAGCAGAACATCTGCCCAAATGCAGCCCCTGTTGGCCCCCATACCGCCCAGGTATCAAGTCCTAGTGTCCCACTTGCTCGACACCAGGTGGCTCCTAGCGGAGAGAGACCCTATATATGCATCGAGTGTGGAAAATGCTTTGGTCGGAGCTCTCACCTCCTCCAGCACCAGCGAATACACACTGGTGAGAAGCCCTATGTCTGCCATGTGTGTGGGAAGGCCTTCAGCCAGAGCTCTGTCCTCAGCAAGCACAGGCGGATCCACACCGGCGAAAAGCCCTACGAGTGCAACGAATGCGGGAAAGCCTTTCGAGTGAGCTCGGACCTTGCCCAGCACCACAAGATCCACACGGGAGAGAAGCCTCACGAGTGTCTAGAGTGTGGGAAGGCGTTCACTCAGCTCTCCCACCTCATCCAGCACCAGCGGATCCACACGGGGGAGAGGCCCTATGTGTGCCCCTTGTGCGGGAAAGCCTTCAACCACAGTACTGTCCTACGGAGCCACCAGAGGGTGCACACCGGAGAGAAGCCTCATGGGTGCAGCGAGTGTGGGAAGACGTTCAGCGTGAAGAGAACGCTGCTGCAGCACCAGCGGGTCCACACCGGCGAGAAACCCTACACGTGTAGTGAGTGTGGCAAGGCCTTCAGTGACCGCTCGGTGCTCATCCAGCATCACAACGTGCACACCGGGGAAAAGCCGTACGAGTGCAGTGAGTGCGGCAAGACCTTTAGCCACCGCTCCACCCTAATGAACCACGAGAGGATTCACACGGAGGAGAAGCCCTACGCGTGCTACGAGTGTGGGAAGGCCTTCGTTCAGCACTCGCACCTCATCCAGCACCTCCGGGTCCACACCGGGGAGAAACCCTATGTGTGCGGCGAATGCGGGCACGCATTCAGTGCGCGCAGGTCTCTGATCCAGCACGAGAGAATCCACACCGGCGAGAAGCCCTTTCAGTGCACAGAGTGTGGCAAAGCCTTCAGCCTGAAAGCAACTCTTATCGTGCACCTGAGGACCCACACCGGCGAGAAGCCCTACGAGTGCAATCGCTGCGGCAAGGCATTCAGCCAGTACTCGGTGCTCATCCAACACCAGCGGATCCACACGGGAGAGAAACCCTACGAGTGTGGGGAGTGTGGGCGTGCCTTCAACCAGCACGGGCACCTGATCCAGCACCAGAAAGTACACAAGAAGCTGTGACCCATGGCGGTCAGAAGCCCAACTTAGAACCTGCTTTCCTCCCAGTTCTGGTAAATCTGCAGGATTTCCTTGGAGGCTCAATGTCACAATTCCTTTTCCTTCTAGAGAAAAACATTCTACTGGTGTTACCTTTCTTTCCCTAACCATCTTGAGGTTATAGTGGAAAATCCTATAATTGTGGATATTGGTAAAGTTAGCCATAATTCTGCCTTTGATTATTTGACATGAATCGGTTTATTGAAGCAGCTGAGAAGACAGAGACTATATTGACATTTCAAATGGAGTTCCTTGTCTTACTAGCTTCATGCCTTTCCTGAATGCATCTGGTCATTCAAATGTATTTAAATTTTCAATTAACTTTTCTATTGGGGGGGGGGGGAACTACTTTTAAAGGTCGCTGTGGAACCATGGCTGTCCTGGAACTCTGTAGACCAGACTGACCTCAAACTCAGAGATCCACCTGTCTCTGCCTCCCTACTGCTGGTGTTAAAGGCGTGTGCCAGCACCACCCAAGCTTATTTTTGGTATTTATGAAACTATGTGTATAAAATATCATTAAAAAAAATTCTTGGCCCAGAGAGATGACGGGTTCAGTAGATAAAACCTGATAACCTGAGTTTGCTTTCCAGAACCCACAAGGTGGGAGGAGAGAACCAACTCCCACAGGCTTCCATGTGAGATCCAAGCAAGAGTGTGATGATATGCATACACATAGATAAAACCAATATTTTAAAATATTCTTATGAAATATTCTGAAATGGCAGCTCTAAGTGTTTGGAAAAAGAAAAAGATACATTAGTAAGAATTTATGTAAACTGAAAGAAATTGTTTGGTGTCTGTCTTATCTGTCCTGGTAAAACACCATAACCAAAGCAACTTAGCAAAGAAAGGGTTTATTCACTTCCACATCACAGGAAGTCAAAGCAGAAACTCCCATACAGGCCATGGAGTAACACTGCTTACTAGCTTGCTCCTCATGGCTGCTTTCATAAAGTTCAGGTAGGATCCACTCACACACACCTGTTGGTCCTGTGGTAGTAGCATCTATTCAAGAGCTCTAACCCTGCCATATAGTGCCAAGCCTGGGTTTCTCTTCAGGAGCCCTTCAGCCCCAGGGCTTCTACAACTGAGGCAGCATCTTCACTGGCCTCTCAGTGCCAAGCCTCAGCTTGAACCCACACATGCCTTCAAAACCTGTGCCACACATCACAGTTCAGTTACCTGCCTCAGGACCACAGCTTCTTTCTGGATGCTAACCCTAAGTAGGCAAACACCTCCCAGGTTCCACCCTAATGGTGCTGATTACCGCTCACTCCTCACACCCCCGCCACACACACAGAGTTTCTGTGTAACCCTGGCTGTTCTGAACTCATTGTTGACCAGGCCTGCCTGTTGGGATTAAAGGCGTACACCAATCTCTTAATCACAACTGATTAAAGCCCAGCTGAGCCAGATTATTCCAGCAAAGATTCACTTTAATGGTTTTAGTATCTTGGCTAAATTCCTCTCAGCTGAGCAGAACAGATTCTTAACTGAATTACCACCAGCATGGTGGTAACATGCCTCTAGTCCTAGCAAAGGCAGCCACAGCTACATAGTGGAATACTGTCTCAAAACAAAAGGCATGGTGATGCATGTCTTTAGTCCCAGCACTCAAGAGGCAGCTAAGATCTCTATAGTTCATAGCCAGGGCCAGATAAACCCTTGTCTCAAAAAACCAAAATAAATACTGCCTCTAGTCTTTTGTTGTTTCTCAAAACTTCCTTCTGAAAATACCATCTGTACTACTACTATTTTCTGAGTTCCCATAATAACTCATGAAGCCCTGAAAACTCGGCCATCTTCTAGCCCACAATCCTTCCTCCCACCAAAATGGTCGGTATTGGCACAAATTTGTCTTCTGGCTGTTGATATAATACCATGACCAGAAGCAACTTGAGGATTAATTGGGTTCGCATCCACATCACAGCCCACATGTAAATGGGTTCAAGCACATGCTAAGGGAGATGCTGCATGACTTGCTCCATGTTTTTCTTTTATAACCCACAGCCACCTGCCCAGGCGTGGCCCTCCCACATCAATCATTAAGAAAATACCTAGTAGACTTCCTATAGGCCAAGCACTAGAGGGGTTCTTTCAATTCAGAGTCCCTCTTCCCAAATGGCTCTAGCTTATGTTGAGGGGGAAAAAAAGCGCCACAAATTTATTCATCAGATGGGATATCCTAATGTCCCTAGTGAAAATTCAACTCATGGAGCTAGCAAGATGGCTCAGTGGGTAAAGATCCTTTGCCACCAAGCTTGACAACCTGAGTTCAATCTCCAGAGAACACCTAGTCCTCTGACATCCAGTCAGGCCCTGCCATGTACCTGCACACTAATATACACAATAGAATGAGGGCCCACCTTAATTCCAGGCCCAGCACGTCATGTTCACATGCCCTCTAGCATGCCATCTTCTGACCCACACTCAGGTCATTTCCTTGTACCAAGGCGCTACATGGCAGGGATTCCCCCCACAAAAAAAAAAAAAAATCAAATCTGAGGCTCACACACAGCCTGTTAGCCAAAGGACATACTTTATTAGCTCCTGAGTTCTAGTTCTCCTTCTCCTGTACAGTTTTGGTTCCACGTAGTCGCCCAGTCCGGCGGGCAGCAATGAGACCCACTTTGCGTCCAGCAGGGGCATCTCTTCGGATAGTGGACGGTTTGCCAATGTGCTGGTGGTTACCACCTCCGAAGGGATGCTCTACAGGCTGTAGAGATAGAGAATGAGGTTAGAGTAATCTCACCTATATGGGGAAGGCTGGCAGAACCCACTGTCGAGGACCTCCCTGCTGCAGATCCTCCCAGCACAGGAATACTATCCCACTCCCAGTTCTTGGTTACTTACATTCATGGCCACACCACGTACGCGTGGCCAGCAGTTCCTCTTGGCCTTGTACTTGTGGTAGGCACGGCCAGCCTTCAAGATAGGCTTGTCAATTCTGCCCCCACCAGCCACAACACCTGCAGAAATAAAGGACACCTCTGAGATGTGCACCACAAAGCCCTCGGGTCTCAAATACCACCCCCATTAGTGCTGTGCCAGGAACCCACGACCCCCAAGATCATTGTCAGTCTCAATGAAATGTACCATCCAGGTGCCTGAGCATTTCAGCAAACCTCAGCTAGGGAACCCCTTACTCTGCAATCTGTCATTCAGGACTGGTCCTTCAGCCTCTGAAGACACCTCCCATACAAACAGCGAACTCCACTGAACATAAACTCTCTCTGTGAACATATATCCTCGGAACCTACCCTGAGCAGCCATGAGTTTGGCCGGTTGTGAAATGTTCCCAAGTAACCAAGTAAGAGAATCTGACTCATGTCCCATTTCATGGACATCTTTTAGAAGTCACCAATACTGACTGGCCTCATCTTCTCTAAAAAGAACCACACACAAGCACAGGATTCAGGTCCTAGGTTAGGTCACAGCTCACAAAAATCCCAAGTGGCTTTAAACCTAAATTGTTTGTATATGGATGCATGTAGAGACCTGTGCACTTTTGTGCAGACACCAGGAGAGCACCAGATTCCCTGGAATTTGAGTTACATCTCTGAGCTAGAAAAGGAACCCGGTTGCTCTCTAAAGAACCATTGCTTCCATCCACTGAGCCATCTCTACAGCCCATGCTGGAAGAAACCCACAAAATAGACATCGTACTATTCTACAATTCAACCCACACGTGTATCCTGCGTTCAAAGTTGGTGCCCCCAAGAACAAGGAAATGAGAAATCTGGTTCTAGGTCCCAGGCCTAGCAGCTGGCTGTTCACATGCTGACCACCCAGTCTGGAGGGTTCTACTCCTCTATGGCACTCACCAACGACAGCTCTGTTGGCTGAGGAAATGACCTTCTTGGACCCTGAAGGCAGCTTCACTCGCGTTTTCTTCGTCTCCGGATTGTGGGAGATGACTGTGGCATAGTTCCCGGAGGCTCGTGCCAGCTTGCCCCTGTCCCCAGGCTTCTCCTCCAGACAACAAACGATAGTACCTTCAGGCATGGTGCCCACGGGCAAAACATTGCCGATATTCAGCTGGGCTGTGGAGAGAAGTGGCCAAGCGGCCGGTAAAGCCAAAAGCAATGCGAAGCCACACGGCTCCCACACTATGAGGCACAGCATTCCAAGTCCTAGGCCCAGCCCGTCCTTCCCCGCCTTAAAGCTCACCCTTCTTGCCGCAGTACACAAACTGCCCGGTGTGGATTCCCTCTGCGGCGATGAACAGCTCCGTCCGCTTCTTAAACCGGTAGGGATCACGAAAAACCACTTTGGCGAGAGGAGCGCCGCGACCGGGGTCGTGAATGATATCCTATGGGGCAGGTTGAGAAGGTTAAGACGGTCTCCTCGAGGCACCCTGTTGCCCTGCTTGCCCCCGCCGATGCCCTCATACCTTTACAATGCCCTTAATGTAACCGTGCCGTTCGGCGAAGTCCACAGCTCGCAGGCGCGCGGCGCCCTTACGGTGTTTCACGTGCGCGCGGAACACAGAACCGGCGCCTTTCCTCTGCCCTCGGATCACACGGCCCATGGCGGCGAGTCTGGAAAGAGCTCACATTAAGCGTGCAGAAAAGCAGGTCCCCGCCAGCTCCCAAGGCCGCAGACGCCGCCATCCCTCCCTCCCCGTCCTGGATGAGTGGGCCAGGCCGCACGACAGACCACCGGGTAGGTGACGGTGACAGATGGCGGTGGATCGTTTCAAGCCCGGAGCGACCCGAACACAACCTACCTGCCGGCAAGCACGGCCGAAAGAGGAAATACGCGACGGCAAGCAGCCTTATCTTCCGGGGCGGGGCGCCGGAAGGGGCACTGCCTCTTCCGCGGCGCGATGCCTGTCGGAGCTTGTAGTCACACGCGGATAGTCCTGGTCTCTACCTGCTAGTGGCTCTGAGGCTTACACCTAACCGACATAGGTGCCCTTGGGAGAAGCGGCCTCTGTGGAAACTGACTCAGGAGTTTTATGAAGGGCAGGTGGGCGGCGGTGGAGGCTTCCAGAGGTGGAAGGATTTGTCCAGGGCCACACAGAACTGGGCTGCAGAACCCGAGATTCCGAGCTTGGCTCAAACAAGGGTTTCCATATAAATTGAGAGTCTCCCGATGTTGTAACTCCGAGGTAGACGTAGGAGATTGGATGTATAGACTCGGGAATCCTAGTGCTTTGCACAACTAGAAGATTGGGATATGGAAGCCGAGCGGTGGTGGTGCACGCCTTTAATCCCAGCATTCCCAGAGGCAGAGACGCCTGGGCAGCCTTCCTGGTCTAGAGAGCCTGTTCAAGGACAGTCAGGGCTACACAAAAAAAAAAACCCGGTCGGAGGGGGGGGGGAGGGGGAGGAGGGAGATGGGAATTTAGGAATTAGAAGGCCACCTGCCAAGTCCTCAACAGGTCTGGCAGAGAATCCAAAAGTCCATGACCTCAGCTTAGCAACTGGGACAAAGATGGGGACAAAGACCCTAGAGAGCAAAGGGGAGGAAGGAACGAGACAAAGGAGGGGCTACTTGCCAAGAAAATGCCCTGGAGATGTCTCTGGTGGCACAGAGCCCCCAAAGAGAGGGTCTTCATTTGTGTGAACCCTATCAGTAGGCGATGCCATGGAGACAGAGGTAAACGAGGGTCCAGGGTTCCAGCTGGTAATAGAGACTGGTACTCAAACTGGGAGACTGCACAGCAGAGGCTAAAAGTACCATTCTGAGGAGGAAGGGAGAAGAGGAAGGGGCACCCCATCATTAACCGCTCAAGTTCCACAGGATGCTGGTGCATGGGAGGCATTCCAGAAGGACAGCGAAGCTGGGGGTGGCAGGGATCAAGGACCTGCAGAAAGGGAGATCAAGTCACCCAAGGCAGGATAAGGCGTTCAGAGTCACCCAGAAGAGAACCAGAGTGAAGGTTGCTATAGAGGAAGAGTCCAACAGGGACCAAACACTTACACACACTTGTTAGACTCCTCCAAAACTGTCCTGTGGGCCAGTTGGGTGAGGTGTGTGCTAGGGGTAGCAAGGCCTTGAGCACAGCCAGAAAGCCAGCAATGACCCTACAGGGTTCCCAAGACAAAGCTCTAGCAGGTATCCTCCCACAGTCTTGAGGACTGTGGCCCACCCCTGTCCAGATATCAGCCTTCACCTACTTGTAAGGCCACCCAGCCTGGCTTGAAGCAGGGGTTCCACAGATATGCATCACCTTACGGTGGTGGCTAATGTGGGTGAAGATGGCAAACACTGGGCATGGCCTTTTGAGGAACTCAGGACAGGTCTCATCTTTCTGCTGTTAGGCTCTGTCTCTGCTTGGGCTAAGCACAACCCCTCGTTTCAGCCGTAGTCAGCTAATCCCTGCTTTTCAAATGTAATTTCAGAAATAAACGTCTTGTGTATTTCCTTTTAGTATTACTTTTTAAAGAAGATTTATTTAACTATTTAATGTGCACTGGTGTTTTGTCTGTATATACTCTGTGTGAGGGTGTTAGATCACCTGGAATTGGAGTTACAAACAGTTGCAAGCTGCCACATGGGTGCTGGGAATTGAGCCCAGGTCCTCTGAAGAGCACTCAGTGCTCTTAACCACTGAGCCATCTCTTCAGCCCCTTAGTATTATTTTTAAGCATTTCTTGTCTCATGTAATTTGTCATAAATGCAAGTCCCCTCACTTTGGAGAGGAGGAAAACCTGGGATAACCTAAAATGCATAGGGTGATGTGAATTAAAATAATTGTTTCACTATGTAAAGTTATGTTGCCTTTGTTTGTATTGCAGAATAATTGTTTAACTATGCAAAGATGTGTTGCTGTTTCACTTTGCCTGCCTAAGGCACCTGATTGGTCTAATAAAAAGCTGAATGACCAATAGCTTGGCACAGGAGGGATAGGTGGGACTGGCGGGCAGAGAAAAAAGGGCAGCTGGAGGATAGGCAGGGCTAGCAGGTGGAAAGAAAGGGGGAACTGGGAGCCTGCCAGACACGGAGGAAGCAGGAAAACAGATGGACAGTACCAGTATGCAGATGAGGTAAATGAGCCTCAGGGCAGCACATAGATAAATAGAAATGGACTAATTTAAGTTAAAAAAAAAAAAGCTAGTGCCTTTAATCCCAGCACTCAGGAGGCAGAGGCAGGTGGGTCTCTGTGAGTTTAAGTGCAGCCTGGTCTATAAGAACTAATTCCAGGACAGGCTCCAAAGCCACAGAGAAACCCTGTCTTGAAAAACAAACAAATAAAACAAGCTAGCTAGAAACAAGCCAAAGCTAAGGCTGAGCATTCATAATTAATAATAAGTCTGTGTCATGATTTGGGGACTGGCAGTCCCAGAAAGCCTGCTACAGGATAGGAGCTCACATTTATAAGACCTAAGGATCAGAACCCTGGATTAGTTGGTGTTCCTGCTGCAGGCTTTCAAAGAGCAGAACTCTGCCTTAGGACAGACCGGAGAGATGCCTCTAGTCAGCGGTAGTGGCCTCACTGTTGATCTACAGAGTGGCCACCACTACAGGTACAAGCATGCTCGTGG